GAGGCTGAGGCGGAGGATCGCCGGAGCCCAGCAGGTCGAGGCTGCGGTGGCCGGGAGCGGCCACTGCACTCCAGTCTGGGCGGCAGAGTGAGACTCCGACTCAAAAAAAAAAAAACAATGACAGGATTTCCATTTTTAGGGCTGAGTAGTATTCCATTGTTATTTATATCACGTTTTCTTCATTCATCATTAAACACTTAGTTTAATTCCGTACCTTAGCTGTTGTGAGTAATGCTGCTATAAACAAGGGAGTATAGATATCTCTTTGTCATATTGGTTTTATTTCCTTTGTATATATACTGAGTAGTGAGATTGCTGGATCATTTGGTAGTTCTAGTTTTAATTTTTAAAATTTTGTTTTATTTTTATATTTTTGGAGACAGGGTCTTGCTGTATTGCCCCGTTGGTCTGGAACTCTGGGCCTCAAGCAATCCCCCCGCCTACCACAAAACTGATTATAGGCACAAGCCACTGCACCCAACTCATAGTTTTAATTTTTTGAGAACTCTCTATCCTGTTTTCCATAATCACTGTACTAATTTACGTTCCCACCAGTGGAGTATAAGGGTCTCCCTTTCTTCACATCTTCCAACACTTGTTATCATTTGTCTTCTTGATAGTAGCCTATGCTCACTTGGTTGAGGTGGTATCTCATTGTGATTTTTGATTCGCATTTCCCTGATTTGTGATATTGAGAATTTTTTCATCTACGTGTTGGCCATTTGTATGACTTCTTTGGAAAAATGTCTATTCAGGTTATTGTAATGGCAGTTAAATTTCAACATCAGTTCTGGAGGGGACATTCAAACCATAACATCAAATTTTAAAGTATTCTCTTGAAAAATCAGGTCTAGTAATAGCGTTTCTGTCAGTCAGGACATTTACTGCCCAGTTCCCTTCAGATGTTATTTGTCTGTTCCCTGAATGTATTTACATCTGAATTCCCCAGTCCTCAATAAAGCAGGAGACCCAGGCGTCTGGGAAGAAGATGGGGTTTCTCCGGAACTTAAGAAGAGCAGAGATATGAGGACTAGCAAAGGAATTGTTGAATAGCATTGATGTCACCGGATTGCCTTGCCTGTTATTTTTATTTTAGAAAAATGTTTTTATTTTAATAAAGTTAAAATGTTTGTAGTAAAAAAATCATTTTTTTCTGAATTTTAATCTCTTTGAGGATTTTTTTTATTTACTCCATTCACTTCAAATAATGTTGTTAGTTAAAAACTAAAAGCGTTTTTTTAAAAAATGTAAAATTAAAACACCTGATGAATCTGGAGCTTGAACAGTCTATCAGAGCCATGATTCTGAGAACCAACCCCGATTCTAAAAATGTTTATCTGATGCTATCACAGAATGTATTTTAAAACTGGAGCCATCTGCCTTCCAAAGTTTCCCTGCTGCACCTGCACCCAAAAAAATACTTCTGCCTACATACAGGAACTATTGTTCATCATGCAGGCTCTTCAGGAATTATTCACACTTTAAGATTTATTTTTTTAAAATAATGCATACACATGGTAACAAAACAAAACGCAACAACTCTACAGAGGCACTCAGGAAAATTACCTCTTTTCCAAACTCTGTCTATAGTTCCCCTCCCCAGAAACAACCACTATTACCAGTTTCTTGTGGATCTATCGAAAATATTCTCTGAATAAATACACGTGTGATATGTGCACATATTCAAACCTCCTTTTTTACACATATGGCCACATACTATACGTATGTGCTTCTCTGCACCTGTTTTGTTTTCTAAAATGAAAACAAAATTTTTTTGGCAACAGTATCTACATCTGCACTATTCTTTTGGCTGCATACTGTTACATTAGATGAGTGTTTTCTATTTTAACCAATTTCCTATTGATGAATGTTCAAGTTTGCAGTCTTTCCGCTATCAACAGCACCACTAAGAACATGCTTTTATGTCTGTCTTTGTGCATGGGGGCATTCACATCTATAGGATAAATTTCTAAAACTGCAATTATGGGATCAGAAAGGTATTTGCATTTTAATTTTGTTTGTTACTGTTCAGTGGCCCCACAAAGAGTGTACCAGTTTACATTTTATTAGTGTGTATAAGTATCATTTTCTAACGCCCTTGCCAGCACTTTCCTTATCAGCTCTTTTTATTTTTGCCAATCTGATAGATGAAAAATTATGTTTTATTATAGTTGTAGTTTGCCTTTCTCTTGTTATGATCAAGGATGATGATGTTATCCAGGTAAGAACACTGACTCAGGACTACTATTGGGTAGGCAGGTTAGAACCCCACTTGTTACTCATTATCATCTTCACTGCTTCTCTTTTCTTTTTTGTCTGCTTCATTTCCTTGGGGCAAAAGTGAGATGGTCTTGTTAAAAAAAAAAATCCTCAGTGGGAAAGAAACATTACAGATATGATAAATTATACTTTTGTTTAGCAAATTTATTCCTTTTTCTCTGTCATTCTCTTTTCCTAGCCTGCCACATCTTTTAAGTCTTCTCTCTATATTCCTTTTACCAGTGCCTCTCACTATCCAGAGACATAGACATTCCATACTTCATCTGTCTGGACAGATTTTTTTTTGAAAAAGATTCTCTGAGCATTATTGGCTTATTTCCTTGAATGTACCGAAACATTATTTCCACGTATTAACCAAGTAAAATGTCAACTCTATGAGGACAAGGATTTTCACTGTTACAACTCTAGACTCTAGAGCAGTGCCTGACATATAACAGATGTACAATAACTCTTTTCTTTAATATATAAATTTTTTATTGTGTTAAAAGATGCGTAACATCTGGGCTCGGTGGCTCAGCCTGTAATCCCGTGCCTTGGGAGGCTGAGGTGAGTGAATTTCCTGAGCCCGCGGGCTCGACACCCGCTTGGGCAACTTGACGAGACCTCATCTCTACAATAAATAAAAAAATCAGCCGGGTGTGGTAGCGCGCACCTGTAGTTCCGGCTGCTCGGAAGGCTGAGGCGGAAGGATTGCTGGAGCCCAGCAGGTCAAGGCTGCGGTGGCCGGGAGCAGTCACTGCACTCCAGTCTGCATGACAAAGTGAGACTCCAACTAAAAAAAAAAAAAAAAAAAAAAAAAAAAGATGCGTAACATAAAACTTACCATGTTAGCTAGCTAGTTTCAAGTACATAGTTCAGTGGCATTAAATCATTTGCATTTTAATAATTTTCTTTTGAATGAACAAATGAGTAGTGATGTTGGTATGTGTTCTTACAAGTTACCAAGAGCGATGTGGTCATTTTAATTCACTTTGTCCTTCCTTCCTCTAGACGAAGTCATACGGAAACGTCTCCTAATTGATGGAGATGGTGCTGGAGATGATCGGAGAATTAATCTGCTAGTGAAGAGTTTCATTAAATGGTGCAACTCTGGATCCCAGGAAGAGGGGTATTTCATTTCACTGTTGTTTCTATACCAATATCCTGATGTGATTTTAGGCCATATGTTTAGGTCCTGTTAAGATTTCAAATTTTCACTCACCTTAAATGTCCAATGGAGTCAACTCTTGACTAACCAAGAGTAGATTTTCCAGGTCTCTTCTTCTCTTAGGAGGCCTCATTTATGTTTATTAATATACAGAAGGCAGAGTGATAGGAAGAATTGAAGGTGACATTCAGGCTCATTAATTTTATTACCTTTAGCAGATACGTGTTTAATGAAACAAAATATCTAAATGGGATTTTCTCCCTTGTTAATAAGTTAATGAAAAGTTGCTGCAATGTATATATTCTGAACAATTTTTTAACATACAAAGTTTTTCTTCATTTGCATTTGCCTTCTACATAAATGAATAATTGTATCAAGTGAAAAACTTGTGAGAACAGAATTAAGATAAAAAACCTTTCTAATCAAAATATTGTGTTTTAAACAAAATTCAAATAACTGTGTGAGTTCAGCCTGTATTGATAAGAATAGCAGTCCCATCTTTGCATTCGTAACTAAGGCAGTTTATAAATTCAAGCATACTACATTTGGCAAAAGAAAACATAAGAGACAGATATTCCAAATTATTTTAAATAAAGCAAAAGATTCTCAGAAGTTGGTATACTTTAGTTAGCTCATATTTGCCTCCACGATAATAGTTCAACTTTGCCAATCCATAAACATCTTTATTTTGTTTTTCCTCTTTTTCATTAGATATACTCAGTACCAACGTATGCTGAGTACACTGTCTCAATGTGAATTTTCAATGGGTAAAACTTTGCTGGTATATGATATGAATCTCAGAGAAATGGAAAATTATGAAAAAATTTACAAAGAAATAGGTAAATAAACTTAAAGTAATTAATGTTTCTATCTGTAATTTTATTTTTTATGGTCTAAAGGAAACAATATATGCTAATAATTTTCTTTGGTTGGTGGTAAAAGACTAATAACAGTTAATAATATTAATAGAAAGAATGCAGTAAATGTTAGCTACAAAATGTGTATTCTATGCTAAGTACCTTGGCTCAAGCCTGTAATCCCAGCACTTTGGGAGACAGAGGCAGAGGATTGCTTGAGACCAGGACCTTGTCTCTACAACAAACAGAAAAAAATCAGTCAGGCATTGTGGTGCACACTGATAGTCCCAGCTACTCTGGAGGCTGAAGTGGAAGGATCACTTGAGCCCAGGAGTTTGAGGCTTCTGTGAGCTATGATCTTGCCACTGCAATTCAGCCTGGGTGACAGTGAGACCCCCCACCTCAAAAAAAAGAAAAAAAAATGTGTTCTAGTAGGGTACAGTACTTTGGGTTACAGTTATTTTTTTTAAATGCCAACATCTATTTTGTTTGCAATGGAACTTTAATTTACAAACACATTTTAAAATTGAAAATGGATGAAGATTATAGATGTTATTATAACTATCTTTAAAATATCTTTTAATATAGAATGTAGCATTGCAGGAGCACATGAAAAAATTGCTGAGTGCAAAAAGCAAATTCTTCAAGCAAAACGAATACGAAAAAATCGCCAAGGTAAGGATTTTGAGGGATTTAGTGTGCAAATACTTTATTACTGAATAGCATTTTCATGCAGTTTTTAATGTTGTGAGGTAAAATCTGCAGCCAAAATCAACCTGAATTATAAAAATAAATTAGGAACCAAATTTGATTTTTTAAAACTGTATAATTATTTTTAAATAGAGGAGAAGGAAGGATATGTTTTAAAAAATGGTTTTAGCTGGTTTATATTGATTATTCAAGTATTTCTTTTCTTCTTTTCCTTCTTTTTAAATCTAAGTATTTCTTTTCTTTGAGTTAGGGTCTCACTCTGTTGCACAGGCTGGAGTACAGTGGCACAATCACAGCTACTACAGCCTTGACCTCCTGGGCTCAGGGGACCTTCTGCCTCAGCCTGCCAGGGAGCTGGGAGGGACTGCAGTCATGTGCCACCGTGCCTGGCTAAATTTTTTTGATTTATTGTAAGATGAGGTCTTACCATGTTGCTCAGGCTGGTTTTGGACTCCTGGGTTCAGGAAATCCTCTCACCTCTATAATCAGTGCTAGGATTACTGGCATGAGCCACCACACCCAGCCCAAGTATTTACTAAGTATTAAATTTTTGCTGTATTTAGATCCTTTTGCCTAAATAATGTTATGATAATCAGCAGAGGTGATTTATATAAGTATAATAGATTTAGGGTTTTGTTTGTTTCTTTGTTTAAAGGAGCTACTTTCAACAAAATGAGAAGGAAAATAATTTAAATTCTGAGTTTTTAGTAAATACAAAGCAAGTAAACATAAATAAGAAGCAGGTTAAACTTTAGTTTTATTCTAATCTCTTTTGTTTTGGAGTTAGGGTGTGTCCTTATGCAGATCCTAAGCACTATTTCAAAATAATATTTAATGGCAGAGCATTGCTCTCCTATAATATAAATTGGAGAAAAATAAAAAGCATAATGCATAATCACAGCTGTGACAGATACATAAAAAACTAGAAGGGGCCGGGCGTGGTGGCTCATGCCTGTAAACCCAGCTACGATGGACGTGGTAACGTGCGCCTGTAGTTCTAGCTACTTGGGAGGCTAAAGGAATTAGGATCTTCTGAGACCAGCAGGTCGAGGCTGTGTTGGGCGTGAGTGTCCCACTGTACTCCAGCCTGGGCAACAGAGTGAGACTCTGACTCAACCCCCCCCCCCCAAAATAGAAGGAAATAGTAACTGCTAATGGTTATTTTGGAGTTGTTGATTTTTATGACTTTGGTTCTTTTCTTCATTTTTGTTTTACACTGAGCATGTAACATTTTGTAATACAAAAAAATTATTTTTAAAAAATCACACATTTATTGAACTTTTATGTTCAGTTCTAAAATAGTAAGTTCACTTTTTAATGAGCTAGTTAAGATGATTTTGAATTCTTTATTTTTAAAAGATAATTTTTTCATTCAGTCTAAAATGTGTGTGGCCAATTTACAACAAAATATACAAACTTATTTAATAATTAATATAAATTCTAAATAATTTTGCAAACATTATTTTTGTTGATTAGTGAGGCTTTTTTTTTTTTTTTTTTTTTAGTTGGAATCTCACTCTATCGCCCAGGCCAGAGTGCAAAGCCATGCTTATGGCCACCCCAGCGTCAACCTGCTCCTGCTGGGTTCCAGCGATCGTTTTGCCTTAGCCTTCCAAGTAGCTGGAACTACAGGCGTGCACTACCACACCCTGCTAATTTTTTGATTTATTGTGGGGACAAGGTCTCACCATGTTGCCCAGGCTGGTCTTGAACCCACAGGTTCAGGCAATCCTCTCACCTTGGGATTAGTGAGGCTCTTTTTTTTTTTTTTTTTTT